GTACAGTAGAAACACAATTCCCACATTAACATACATTCAAGTAAAATACTACCCAATTATACAATGAACACACTAACATTTTATAAATGTAGTACAGTACCAGTAAAAAAATTTGTATATGAATTTGAACTTAAACTATTCAGTACTGAAATACACACCTTAATGCTCCATCTAATGAACTAGTAGAAAATGATGTACAGTACATTAATGACTGTTTTTGTATGAATCATACAACTTCCAAGTCACTAGAGAGAGAGGAAGGGGGGGTATGTACAGACATATAAAAGTGAACAAAATATTAAATCACTGCAATAGGGTAACTACAAAAGCTGAATAACACTTACAAAGCAATCAGTAATCAAAATCTAAAGAAAATACAAACTCAGTAATTGTCCAATTTTATTGTCCAACCGTGCTAAAATTAGTAAAATATCGAATAAAGTCAACTTCTAAAGCTAAGTTAGGGAAATGGACACTTGCCATATCTAAGGCATTTACTGTGGTTACATTTCACTCACCAGGTGCTTGATCAAGTCAATATATACATTATTATAATCAAAAAGAAGCGCTAAGCCACAAGGACTATACAGCGTCAATATATACAAATAATGCATGGACACAGTTTAAAAGGTGGAGTATTCTTGAAGGTGGTAGTAGTACTTGTACTAGTAGTAGAACTTGTAACAATAGTAGTACTAGTAATATCAGTAGTACTACTACTTGTAGCAGTAGTATAGTAATGGGTAAACAGGTAGTAGTGGGTGAGCGAGCAGTTATAGTGAATAAGCAGGTAGTAGTGGTAGTAGAACAGTAGGGGGTGAACAGGTTGTAAAATCATGTCAAGTAATGGTAGAGCTGAAGAAATGTGTTGGGGCAGATGTGAGGATCACTAATTCTTATAGTCAATCTTGGCAGGAAGCAGAGACCATGAGCACAGACAAAAATGTCCGGTCCACCATTACTCTCAACAACCATACACCGAGATTACTACACTACCACCTTTCAAGAATGCCAGCCTTCTGAATTCATACTGAATACTATGGTCATGCTCTGTACTATTTGTATTGGCATGACAAGAGCACCTGCCAAACAAAACATAGGTCCAGCATGTCTTATTAGTTGCACATGTCCTATTACCTGAACACTGTCAGTAGTCTTAACAATAATCTAAAGCTCAACTGAGGAGGGCTAATGCAGCAAGCACAAAGGGTTAGAATTTATCAATCTGGTAAAATATAGAGTACACATAAATCAGCTTCAAAACTGGCATTAAGGCATTAACAAGCTGTCATTGAAAGAATTCCCATCTATAATTTCTATATAACATATAGGTATAGACACATCATGCAATTAAGCAGAGTTTGTCAAATAAGTCGAATTAATAAGACATACTTTGCAATCTTTTTATTTTGTACCAAGACTAACTTAAAAGCTTCACTTAACTTTACAAAATTAATGTCATATAATCAGTTCAATCCTACCCAATCTTACATAATCCTAAATTAAAGTAAACCCTTGATTTAACAGACTTTGGAAATACATAATAAAATCATCTGGATAAAAAGACTCAGAAACAACAGGCAAAATTTGTTGGTTACAGAATTGCCCATTATTGTCATAATGACAAAATATTATCTGCCTGAGACTAATTTTTCTGGAGTTACTGCAAAAATGAATCTACACTATGGTTGTCTGGCAAAACAATCATTGTGTTATAAGCCAAAATTACAAGCTTGTGCCTTAAATGTCCACCACACCCCTCTACATACCCTATCAAATCTAACATTCATCCCCCACATAAAAAAATACTAAGCAGCATATAATGCAATATTCATTTTTTTTTTCATAGCTGCATCTTATAGCCAATTCAACTGTCTTTGTTGCTATGCTCTCCATGATATTTTTTTAAATCACAAATGCTAATTCAGAATACAATAATTCCAACTATGTAATATGTAATTTTATACAATTTTATTCCACCACACTTACTATTTCATCCTAGACACAAATGTTTATTATTACAATCAAAACTAAGTGCTAAACCAACAAGGGTCATCCTAGAGACAATTATATTTCACAAAATCAGTTAAAAAATTACTTAACCAGTGATTAGGAAGATGTGTGTAAATCAGCCATTTTTCATAATTTCTGGTTATTTTTCCTAATTTTTACTTCTCATAATTTTTAGTCATTTTCCATTTTTTTTTTTTTATAATTTTGTTATTTTTCATGATTTTTAACCTCTAAATTGTCCAAACATACATCCACTTTTTTTTTACATGCTGTCAAATGAGGAATATCATGGTCGGACCACTACGCACATAAACATAGATCTACATTTGGACAGTTTAAGGGTTAATTATTTTCCATAATGAATAGTCTTAATGAAAATATTACCTTCCTCTTATTAGGAATTACCGGGAAAGTAGGGCCTCATATGATGCTAAAATTATCTTATTTTACATTTTTAAGTGTATATTCTGAATCAGCATAGAAAATAATACCCTGTTGTGATTTTAAGTAATTTTGAAAATCTGGCCGAAAATGGCAAAAAATGCTACTAGGTACTACGCAGGACTGCCTATTTTCAGAACCTTTAATGTTGATTCTTTGGAAAAAATGGATTATCTTCTCAACTTTTCTTTATGCCACTGGCAAACAAGCTTTCCTAATCACTGCCCTTGCCATTTATTTACAGCTCTTGCTATTATTATTTTTAAGATAATAACCAAAGAGGGAAAGGACAATTAGGGCTATTATTATTATTATATTACTTCTACTACAATCAAAACTAAGTGCTAAACTCTTAGAACTCTTACTGAAGCCATTTTGGTCCTAGGACCTTATCACTTAAAGTGATCAAGGTACAAGAAGTAAAACATCTTCAAAAAAAGTGTCTCTTAAGTGAAATTGTGTCCACTTCCTCCTAAGTTGTTGGTATTTACCATCTTCTTACAAGAACTAATCTTTGCTCTTTCATGCTTAAAATTTAAGTCAAATATTGCATATTCAGTCTCAATAAGTCTTTGTGCATGATACAAGAACAGTACAAACATTACATGACTACATGCAATGTCTTATTACCTCACCTGCTGTTGTCTTCCAGTGTACAATACAACATGTACTGTACTCATCATTTTTAGCACTCATTTCCCGTCAAGGAAGGGTGACCCAATGAAAAAACCCACATCTGATAATTATTTCATAGCACCTGCCTCTCTAGAAGGGCACAGACAATTAGATTATAACTGTAGGGATGATTAAGAGAGACTTGGAGAGCTGAAAAAGGGATTCTGGGTATGCTTTTCTTCATTAAAAACCTCTATGGAGCATAGAAATAGGTAAGATTGTCACAGGTCCATTTCCCCAACAAGTAACTACCAGAATGGTCACAATTATTATTTTTATGATCATAACTAAACACTAAACCCACTAGGGCCAGAATGGGCACAAAAAAACCTGAGGTAGTACATAAGACTGATGCCTCAAATGTGTCAATAGACTGAAAGGATTGTTACTCAAATTATCATCACAGTTCGGAAGAACTAATCATGAAAAGGTTATCCAGTGCTGGGGAATGAGAGGGAAGTAATCAGGTGTGATCTGAGAAAAGGGTAGTGCCTATTCCTCAGATCAAAAGACTTAACCAGCTCAAAGCCATTTCTCTTAAGCCTTAAGGGAATGCTGCTTACAGAAGTTATACATACAGGTAGATGGCAGATAATGACTGCAATTATATGGATCAAATATTCAGATCTGAAAACCATCAATAATACCCACACACTATTAATATAATTCCTGTATGATCATTCAAAAACAGTAGGACACTACAGTACAACAGGCAGACTGTGTTAATATGGCACTCCAGAGCATTTCGCTAATACAGCACTTATCAATTATATTCATGTTTATTTTTTCACTGCTTGCCTTGCTCTTAAGATTGTTTTTGGAAATTTTTGAAAATTTTATTATTTTCACATCATATACTGTACTTAGGTCTAGTGCTATTGCGCACTTGATAAATGATAGTGTATTATTATTATAATAAAAAAGCGTTAAACCACAAGGGCTATACAGCGCTGCAAATGATAGTGTAAACATGCTTTTTAGACTTTTATATGTACTGGTGCGTGAAAAAATAGGCTGTGATCCGTTTTAAGGCAGTGATATGGAAACTAACCCTCCGTATTAGAGAGTTACTCCTGTATTTAGAATACGTAGTCACTTCCCAGCCGACTGACAAGACACTTATATTGTACAGTGGACCCTTGCCTAACGAACGCATCGCATAACATTAAATCCGCCTAGCGATACATTTTAAGGCAAAAATTTTGCCTCGACTAGCGCTAAAAAACTTGCCCAACGCGATTCGTTCCGTTCGAGACGCATCCACGTGTGGCCTGAGCGTGCCTCACTTGTCCCGTGGGTGCCAGTGTTTGCAAGCCAGCCACCGCGGTCGCATCCAAACATACAGTCGGAACATTTCATATTATCACAGCATTTTTAGTGATTGCACCTGCAAAATAAGTCACCATGGGCCCCAAGAAAGCTTCTAGTGCCAACCCTGTGATAAAAAGGGTGAGAATTAGTATGGAAATTAAGAAAGATTTTGAAGGGTTTGGGGCTAACCCTGAGATGCCTATGCCAGTTGTGGAATCCATTGTGCCTACTTCAAAGATTAAGGAAATGTGTGCAAAGTGGGTTGAACTGCAAACCTTTATGGATGAAAATCACCCTAACACAGCTATTGCAAGCCATGCTGGTGACTATTACAATGACAATGTTATGGCCCATTTTAGACAAATCTTCAAAGAACGGGAGGTACAGAGCTCTATGGACAGATATGTTGTGCGACAGAGGTCCAGTGACTTTCAAGCTGGTCCTAGTGGCATTAAAAGAAGAGAAGTAACCCCAGAAAAGGACTTGACACCAAGTCCTAATGGAAGGGGATTCCCCTTCTAAACATTATCATCATCCACACACTCCCCTCCTCCCATCCCATCAATCACCACCAGATCTTCAATAAAGGTGAGTGTCATGTAATTGTACATGTCTTCTTCAGCTTGTGTGTATTAAAATTAATATTGCATGTGGTAAAAATTTTTTTTTCATACTTTGGGGTGTCAGGAACGGATTAATTTGATTTCCATTATTTCCTATGGGGAAAATTAATTCGGCTAACGATAATTTCGCCTAACGTTGAGCTCTCAGGAACGGATTAATATCGTTAGGCGAGGGTCCACTGTACTAATGACATCATGAATTCAAGTCACTCATGTACATACTGTAAATGCTAGTAGAATTAAGTGATTGTATATTGATTAAAAATATATACAGTGGACCCCCGGTTAACGATATTTTTTCACTCCAGAAGTATGTTCAGGTGCCAGTACTGACCGAATTTGTTCCCATAAGAAATATTGTGAAGTAGATTAGTCCATTTCAGACCCCCAAACATACACGTACAAACGCACTTACTTAAATACACTTACATAATTGGTCGCATTCGGAGGTAATCGTTATGCGGGGGTCCACTGTATACAGCTAAATAATTATCCAGTATTAATATGGTTTAAAGCTTTTCATAGGGAAATACTACACTGTCACTGTTTCTTGATCATATTGGAATTACTATGTAATAGATTGTGTGGCCATTACAAATGTTTTTTTGACAAATGTTTATTACATATCACTATGATGAATGTACTCCTGAAGTAATTATATGGTACAATAAGTATGGATGGACAGTTTATGTAATGTCACTGAGCTGTAACCCCCTCACCACTTAGTAGCACCTCTATGACTGTGGCCAGTTAAGAGAGCTCTTCTCCCACAGTCTAGTTAGAAGGCACTCTCCTGATGCCTGCATCAGCTAGGCTATAGCTACCTGCTTGCAGCCTACAGGCTCACATAGCTATTACAACCAAGCTGATGAGGTAACACTTCAAACCTGCTTAATTTCCTCTTATTATTACAGTCAAAACCATGTGCTAAACCAAGAGAGATTAGTGTCCTCTTCAATTCCCTATTTTTGCCAGCCACATTTTTGTTGGTAGGTTAAAGTTATGGATCACAGAGGTTAATAATTATTTCCAACTGTGATTATAAGACCTCAGCCTTCACTGGGTTTATTCCACAATTTCTCTCATATATCTTAATCCAGAACATTATCTGTAGAGTGCAGAAAGTTACAGTCTATGTGAGCAGCAAATGAACTCTTAATCCACCCAGTCATTTTCCTGGTCAATGTCTTACTGTATTTTCTCAAGGTTAGATTGTCAGACAAATATTCATAGATCTTTTTACCCATTCTTGACATTCTAAAACTAGATCTATATTTTTTGTATCCTGTATTTCATTCTTTTTGTAGTAAAGCAGCCAAAAATTGTCACTGTTTAAAATATTTTCCTTTGGTATATTGAGTTTTTTTCAGTGTGTCTTCTACCAAGCTGTGGTTTATGTATATCTACTAAGAGGATATGAGAGCAGAGGTGCCACATGCTATTTTTTTATTTAAATTTATAAGCTTTAACTGTTATACCCATGAACTAATTTTATAACTTACCACTCCATGGTCACATTTATCAAATACTTATGTAAAATCTGCATAAACCACATCTGCATTTTGTTTTTCCTCTAATCTCTCCTTCAGGCATCAACACCTTGTGCAACATGACATTTTTTCTGACCTATAACAGGCTTACTTATTCCTATTACCCATCAAAGCTCCTTCAAAAGGACAAAAAAAAAAAAAAAAAAAGCTACATCCCAGAAAGGGTTGGAGGTAGAATGGGGAGGTAAAGGTTTTGAATAGTAAGGGCTTGAGCATCCAACAGGCATGTGTGAGCATGCAAGATCAGAGCAGGTGTTAGAGTGTGCAAGGTAATATTAATGAAGGGATACAGGGAAACTGGTTAGCTAGACTTGAGTTCTCAAAGCAGAAGTCTAGTACATTGCCTGCACTGAAAAACAGACAAGGATATTATAGTTTGGAGGGTCATATGAATTGTGATGTCTGCAAATACTACTGGCAAGTGTGTTACTGAATGACTTTGAATGTTTTCTTTGTGTCACCCTACCTTAGTGGGAAACAATAAATAGGGTAAAATAAAATCCAAGTGAAGCCATATCTCCACGTTCTCAACTCATTCCCTGAACTTGTCAAGCTTTCTGCTGCCATAAAGCATTGTTCACTGCCTCCCTAAAGATCAATTCTTGTACCTGCTTTATATATAAGAGCGCTCTTACATTTTAGTCTACTGAAAAGAGCCTCAGTATGATGCCAAAATATATAGTACAGTACTCTTACCTCTATTTTCTCCATGTGGGTTCATTTATGCCATACAAGTGGACAGTAAACCCCAGCAAAAGAATGTACCTATTAAAAAAATATACTGTACTGAAAAAGCTCAATGAAGAAGGCCTACTCACAAGGGAATTCTTTATTTCTTGCCGTGCCTTGGCAATCTGACTGGCCAGGGATCCTAGGCCCGAACTTCCCTAAGAAACACAGGAAACCACCATTAGAGCCTCACAGAAAAAATCATATCAATTGGCCTCCACTAACCTGAGGTGAAAAAAAAAAATTTAAATATTATTTAAGTATTTTTATGTATTAGTGTAACAAAAATAGATACTGTAGCATAAACTTGCTTTCTAAAAAAAAAAAAAATTCAATCAACAATGCCATTCCTATTTTTTTTTTTATCAAACCAGCCTCTCCAATAGTGTGTTGGAAGTATCTTAATACAGTATTTTTTCCTTGAATTAAAAAAATCTATATACTGTACTAGAAACTTTTTGAATGCATTAGGATAATCAAGAAAGGTAGTCATGGTCTATCCCAGAATAATTCATAATACAAAACTTTATGACATGTTATAATTTCAGAAAATGTATGCCTCTCTTCCTTCCCTTCACTCTTCCTCTTTTCCCCTCTTTTGCTACCCATCAGTCTTTCAGTACTGCTAAGCCATCCTGTGATGAATACTATCAGTTATGCTTAGGTATAAGTGTCCACCTATATAAGATAGGGTCCAATAGGTATATTGTAGTGCTCCTCTGTGTTCTAATGTTCAGACTGTGGTGCAAGTAGTAGTAATTATATAGCCAACATGAGAGGAATTCAAGGCAGGGTGTAAAATTTTTGACGTTATATAGGTATACTCTCCAGGTATAAAGGCCATGCAGAGTGACAAACAAAATGAGCAGAAAATATGGTAAGACAGGAATCACAGACGGAGATCATTATCGAGAGAATGGAGAGGCAGAGGAGTCAGAGAGATGATCCAAGCAGTCCATTCTGTTGGTTTTTGGGGGTTTGTACGACTAAGTATTATTCTACTGCGATCCTAGAGATCCTCCCAACAATTTTTCTGTTCCATAAGTGGGTAGAATCTAGGTTAAGTGGTTAACTCACTCAGGGTTTACTTATAACTATATGTATTATATGTGATCCAGGAGAGGATTTAGATGATATATTGCAATTTAAGATACTGTATTTAATATACTGTCAAATAATTGTTTGTAAAATGTAAGCACTAAAATATATTGTACCTTAAATGTTTTTTCCCCTTGCTGATGTTATCAGCATTAGGATTAATGTTTATGTAGAACAGCAATCAACACTGCTAGTAGCTCTTTCGTGTTGATAACGACAGTATTAGGATTAAGGAAGTATACCAGTAGTAAAGTGACATGCAGGTATCTCTTAAGTAACAGCAGTACAGACCCTCTCACCCCTAGCCCTATCATATTCCGTACCATAAACTGACTTGAATACACCATGCACGATAACCGATTCGTAGTTATGGGAGCAGAGCTATACCTGAGGTGTCCCGTCTAAAATATTTAGTTTCTTGTGTAGATTTTTAAAGCTTCCAGTGGTAGACAGAACACATTACTTCCTCTTTGATCTCCTTCCAGCAGTCTACAAGCTTTTTTTTTTTTTTTAATATTTTGCTTTTTCTTCTATCAACTTTTATGCATAATTTGCAACTGGGACCTTGTTTCTCCTGCTAATGGAGCTAAAAAAAACACCTCTTCTATTTTATCGTATCTTATGATCATGCAAGTATATTTAGATTTTTACTGTTGAAGCAGCTAGAATAGATTCTTGTGCACTTCATATCCATCTTATGGATGGTAGTGCTAGAGCATATGAATACACGAAAGACCTAGTCATTAAGCTCCAAAAGGGTTAACAGGAATACATCTAGATAAATATTTACAATTCAATTTTCCTCTATTGAAAGTAAAATTTGGAAATTTCCTTAAAATGTCTGGTATCACAGGTTAATATACTATTTATAAATTCTTCAGTAAGTGCCATATACTGTACTCTCTATTTATATACTCTTCAATAAGTGACAATCAAGTACATATAGTAGTGTTAGGCGTTCTGAATTAATGAAGATCTGTGGGTCACTCAAATGTATAATGACCAATTTTCCAACATTCTCCTAATTTATAGTGAATAAATATAACATCCACGATATAAATCCATCGCACTGTCATAAAAGAAGTACATACTGTCTTTTAGTCATTATGTGAGGAACAGTAAAGCTTTTAAACCAATGCTACTATACCCTAGTCCTAAACACATGACTTTGTATAACTCGCTAGCACGAGATTACACCACGTACAAGGGTAGTTCAGAACGCGCATGCAATTGGGAATAAGGATACGTGGTTCTCTCGTACTCATCCTTCTAGTGTGAATCAAGTTTATAGTTTCCAAGGGAAGCAGATATCATGGTATTAATTTACAAATACCATATGTTGTAGCTTAACCCATAGTTAATGTGTTACCACCATTATAAAGCAGGGAACAACAGGTATTCCCAAAAATTATCAACAGCCACAATCTGTAAATACTGTACTGTACATAAAATTCCAGAGAATAAAATAAAGCAGCTTTTAAAGATTGTACTTAAAAGGCTCAAATGTGTTCAAAATATAAGGAGCTTACCAAAACAAATTTAAATTGTTAATAAAAATCATTAAATCTCAAATTAATAAATATTACATAATTTAAGATTGAAGCATGACTGATGCAAGAATACAATTCCTAGTTTCTTGACAATAATGAAATAAAAACAAGCCTCTTAAGTACACAAAAGTTTCGTCATCCCTACAAATAAGCGAGAGGTTAAGTTCCAAGGGGTCCTGCAAAACTAAAGAACTGTGAATTAAGCTTGCATAACAAATTTTGCTTCAGATTAACATTCAATTTATTTCACAGACCATAACCTTGTAATATATTCTAATCAGGTTAATACTGACAGTCATAAGAAATAATGAAAAGAACAGAGATTTGGATATGGTAAAGGTCTGTAGCCAGAAAAACATTGGACAACTGAAGTTATGCATGAGTTACCCATTAGTAAAAACATTGGATAACTGAAATGAGCAAATATGAAAGCCCATGAATTTGTTATATAAGTCGGCCGTCTCCCACCAAGGCAGGGTGACCCAAAAAGAAAGAAAATCCCCCCCCCCCCCAAAAAAAAATATTTTCATCATCATTCAACACTTTCGCCTCACTCACACAATCACATAATCATGTATTATTCAGTGTCACCTTCATAGGCAATTACTGTACATTCATTTCCCATTTGACAGTCCAGTACGTAGACTAGTACGTAGTTCAAAGTGTCACATGAACAATCTTCCAGGGGGTTTAAACACTCCATAACAAAAACCATCCTCCAGAGGGCTCATACGGCCCAAATCATCACAGCCCTTTACAGCAACAATCATCTTCCAGAGGGCCCATATGGCATAAGCCATTGTAACCTATACTCTCCACAAGACCCATCTTCCAGAGTGCTCAATATAGCATGTCATCACAGCCCTAACAGTCACAAGCAACTAGTATGCTTTCCAGAGAGTTCATACAACAAGCTGTTATAGTACACAAATAACCCACACATGGGAGAAAGAAGTTTGTGACAACATTTCGATCTGACTTGGACCATTGCTATCATAGCTCATATATTCAACAACTGTTAAGGGAGTAATACCTGTGTAATATATAGATTTCCTAATACCATTATAGTAAGGCTCCCTTGTCATGCTGACGTCTTGTCAGCTAGGATTGGAGTGACAGCGAGCGATCTGGCCTATGGTCTAAGCAGGGAAGGAAGTCGTGTGACTTCAGCATGACAAGGGAGCCTTGCTGTAATGGTATTAGAGAATCTATATACTACACAAGTATTACACTATTAACACTATTATCCCCCACACTCAGTGTTGAAACATATACTGTACTGTAGCATATTATTTACCAAGTTTTCATAAGAATACACATGACGATCTACCTTGACCTATATTTTCAACAGGTTACCCAATATATTATTAGGAAATGGTCACTGACCTAACCGAGTTAGCCTTATCATATACTTGAACCATTACAAGGAACTAGCTTCTGGTGTTGTCTAGCACATTCAATTCCCTTACTTGCTGATTCAACTGGGTACTCAGTTTTCATCTGTCTTCCTTGTTCTGGATCCTCCATAGGCAGAGAGAGTGCCCTTGCCTACTTTGCCCCATGCCATGATCATATTGTCTCTTGCTCAGTAATAACCCATATGGAGATAAATCTAAGAGGTTGATTGACCTGAATATTAAGACCCCTTTCTGGAATCCTCTTTAGCAGAAGAGGATCCCAGACAGGGGTCGTAATATACAAATCAACCTCCCGAGTTTGTCTCCATTTTGTTTTTTTCAACATGTCAGCCGTCTCCCACCTAGGCAGGGTGACCCAAAAAGAAAGAAAATCTCCAAAAAGAAAATACTTTCATCATCATTCAACACTTTCACCTCACTCATACATAATAACTGTTTTTGTAGAGGTGCCCAGAATACAACAGTTTAGAAGCATATACGTACTACATATGAAGTTACACAACACATCCCAAAACCCCTCCTTTAAAGCGCAGACATTGTACTGCCCATCTCCATGTGGGTTATTATTGAACATTGACAATGTTCATTACACTTTAGTTTTTCATACTGCCTCTTACTGTATCCTGTTCATGCAGTCTTGGTGTGTGTTGTCTCAAGAGTCCCTACAGGGACTAGATCTAGTCATGCAGTCTTTTCTCACAGCTGGAGGTTTGGATTCAGTTCAGTTCATAGCCATGCTCCCACTCCCAAAAACAGGAACTGGGAGGTTACACTACCTAAACTCTACACAAATCTGCTTCACGTACACTGCTTCAAACTAATGTCAGGAAGCATTCTTAAGATATCGAGATACAAAGTAACATATAGCAAATAACTATACTGTATCTTCCCTCCATAAGATATCTAATAATCCTACTCTTATATTAATAAAGATAAATTAGTGAAATAAAAGTGTCACAAGTACTTTTCTGAAATAGGTACAACTGACAATTAAGTACCTTCAATACACTTCTGGAGTAAGCAAATTCCTGTATGCAACTTTGCAACCTTGGAAATAATGATGAGCATCACTAACTTATGTTAGTTATATAA